ATTGAGCAAATTGAATGCAGTGAGTTTCACACAGTAGAACTAGATATTGTATTTTGTATGCTGTGCCTTTTTCTTTCTTTTCTCTCTCTCTCTCTTTCTTTCTTTTTTTCCCCCTTCCAATAGAGCTATCCAGTGTTGAATATGTCAGTGTGCCTTGAATGTGCAGTCACATTCTGAGGTATGTCTTTGAACTCTTCAATGGTGCTTTGCATTTCTTTGAGACCTTTTATGGGAAGGAAATAGAGAATTGTGGACTAAAATGCTGTGCGGTTGTCTCATTATTTCTCTTCCATTAGAAAAAAAAAGGGCGTTAGTTTTTGTTAGACAGGGACACCTCCGTTATAGAGTATATTCAGCATCTACTGCGCATGGCTTCATACTGATACTCACAGACAGCATGGGGTATGGTGAACCAATTTAGAAGGCCAAGACAATAGTTCTGTATCTGCTCTGAACAAAGAAATTATCATCTCCAGCTAGCAATAATTTTGACAAAAGGATAAATTGATTTTCAACATACATCTCATTCCTAGCTACTTTTTAAATTTTATTTTTTAAAATAGAAAAAGAACCCAAACCCAGAACCTAGAGAAAGATGAAGACTAATAGCAAGTAATCAGAGGATAATAAAGTGTGACCAGAAAAATTAGAAGCTCCCCCGCAGCTCTAATTAAGCTAGTGGGAAGCGTATCTATGGAAGGATGGCAGAATGGGATCTGTAAATACATTCTCCTATGTAGAGCAGGATTCTGACACCTTTCCTCAGGGAAAGTAAGGGTTTGGTACCTAAATGGTTATAAGCAGCAGCCATTTGAGTGTGAGGTCATAGTATAACATTTGGCATGTTGCAGCTGGAGAAACTTGTGCCACAATGCAATACGCAGTGATTATGCTGCAGTCAACTGCCTCCATATTGCAGAGATGTGAAGTGTGAGTGTCACCAGCAAGAGACATATAAATTAAAGGTATTTAAGGAGAAATTTCACAAAGGATTGTTCTGGCACATAAAGAAGGTAGCCAATCCAAGTTTTGTACAGAGGAGTACTCATAGAGATTGTGCTAATACATTTTATGAGGTTTCTTTGATTCTTTTAATTATATTTACATTTTAACACATTGATTTCTACATGTGCTAGGCATGAAGAGGAAAGAGGACAGTGAGATAATTTTCCTAGGACTAAGGCAAATTTTTTCCTCATAGTTGTGGATATGTCCTTTGCTCAGAGACTGTGTTTATCTTTTAAGTGGTGGGGAGCATGGGCTTACCATCTCGATCAATTCTGCGCTCTAACACCCAGAAAGAGTAATGCATTAAGTTTAATTTATCAGACCTATTTTGCACATGCCCCTTTGACAGAGACGTTCCACAAGCAGATATCTTTTTATACTGTACTTGGGGCACAGCTTCTGACAGAGATTAGTGTATAACCTGAAGTAAAAGTATTGGTGTAAAATACAGGACTGTATACATGGGATTTCATCCAGAACACTCAGCCAAAAGAAATACTGAACCATCGCTAAATCATCCTAATGAGTTAAGTATTGTGTGTGGCTTTGTTATTTTAAGCAAATGCACTCATATTTGTTTCTGGAACTATAAGGGATCAGTCAAGCAAATGTTTCCGTGAAAGGAAAAAAATATATGTATGTTCATAAAACTTACACTGCCTTACTTTCTTGGTGGCAAGGTATTTAAAATAATTGTTCAGTGAAAGACTAAACATTTTCTTGGAAAGCACATTTAACTCAAGAATTAGCCATGTAGGGTGTCCACTCCACTGTGTAAAATAATAAACTTCATGCTTTCTTTTTCTCTTTTGCCTTTAATACACAGCCGCCTTTATAAAAGCCATATGTTACACAGAACCAGGCATTTCCATGTGAAAAAAGCCCAACCAACAACCTAAACCTAGAAAGAATTAGATTTTCAGGCCTAAGAAAAGCATTTGAGTGGTTTCCAGTTTACATTGGGGGTGAGGGAGCGGAGAGAGGGGCAAGGTAAGACGGAAACAGTACATCTCGGCCTCAAGCTCAGTGTTGGGTTGCCAAAACAGGGGCTTTCAGTAGGAGCAAACAGAACTGCCTCAGCCTTTGCACTCCTCTCCAATTTTCTGTGGGTGTAGGGATTAAGTAACTACTGCAGTTCATACATGAATGGTTTCCCTCCCAGATGTGAAACATCTTCCAGACAGCTTGGCCAGACAGCTTTGGAAACATCTGCTGCTCTCTCTTCCTTCCCCACCTCCTGGTCATCCTGATTTCGATGGATAAAATAACAGGAAAACAAAAGGAGTGATTCCTGGGTATTATCATTGTTTGCTTTTGAATAGGAATTGGAAGGCTTTCTATGCATGCTTTGCACTTGTGAGCAGTGAAACAAAGAGACATCAACAGCACAGTGTTTGCAGAGGGTAACTGGTGGGTAATATGCCTCCAAAATGGTTCTAGATGGTATGGGGGGCTTCCAGTCAAGGGCCATGGGACACGCACCCTGGAGCAGAGATGGGCACAGCAAAACCATCTTCATTATATCAAATCTTGGCTCACTGAGACAGAGAGTTCTTTACTGGTAACATTCAGGGCAGCCACATGTGTGACCCAGTAACCGGGGTGGGGGGTTCTCCCATCAGCTGGAATCCCCAAGCTGGACATCCCACTGCTTGGTTTTCAAATGCCACCCACTATCTCAGCTGCCCATTAATCGAGGATTGTCCTTTCTGGAAAACGCTTCAGATGGTCATTTATGGCAATGTGTGAGACTCTCAGGAGCAGACGAGAGAGACCCTCCCTCCTGACGGCTATAGCCTTTTCCTTAATCTTCACCAAACAGTCTCAGTCCCAGTAGCACTGGTTTGCTCATACACAGTGTGTAAATACATTGTTCTGAATGGGTTTCCTTGGTTCTCACATCTCCCCTTTAAAAAAAACCCAACCCAATTTAACCCTACCACTTTGGAAGATAGTTCATAAGCAGCGCTTACAACTGAAATATTTAAGGCATTTTCACTCTGTGGTACAGAAAGACCAAACCCAGTATTGAACTGAGTGGATTTTTTTGCTTCTCCTTATAAATCTTTAGTATTTAAAAATCATAAAGAGGCACCATTTAATTTATGGAATTTTACAAAAAATAATTCTTCTCACCTCTCACAAAAAAATAATCTATTTCAGCTAAGTGTTTTACTGGCGCATTTTTTCCAGCTATAGCCAAAAAAGACCTACTTTGGTGTAGATGTCATGACCCACTTCAAAAGAGCAGAGGCCAATAAACACAGAGAGCACGGTTTCAGTTTTGTCATTACAGGCTAAGGCACAGTGTGTCCATTACCAACAGCTGGAAAATGAGACAATGACTTAAAGTAGCATTATTGTGTTTCTCATGGATGGTTTAGTGGGAAAGTTCAGAGAGGTGCAGGCACTTGTGATAGAGAAAGCTCAACAGGGATTTTTCACTTTGTGTCACATGATAGTCTTAAAAAATTTCTGCTAAGAGATGTCAGAGGTGAACTGAACAGCTTGAGTCTAGTGCAAAAATCAATGCACACAAATTGTTTAGGTCCCAGTTCTGCTCTACAGCCTAGAAATCACAAATGCATCTATCTGTCTGAGAAATCATACCTCTGGTGTTTGTCACCTACTTTGTCTCTGCTGCAGATTTCTGTCTTGAAGTGAGGTCGGTAGATGTTTGCATAGCTACTTCAACCTTCTCTTTGCAAGAAGGGGGAGAGCAGAATCCTCCCTGGACACAGTATTGTGAGCAGTTTAGGAGATGGTGATTTCCTTTCCCCTATCTCCATTTGTTTAACTATGCTAGAACCTGCTCTGTTGAGCAGCTTCACTTTCAGCCATCTGCTGAGAACAGATATGTCTACACAACACCTTTTTTCAGGCAGAAGCACCCTTGCTGTCCACACACAGGGATGACCAAAAGCCCTGGGATTACCATGAGCTTGAGCTCACCATCCTCACAGGCAGGTCAGGCCAGCCACTGCTCAGTGTGGTGCTGGTAAACCTGGCCTGTTGGGAGGGCAAGTCAAGCAGTGACAGCTCAGATGGGAAGCAGAAAATGCTTGTGTAAGCCAGACAAGTATCACGAAGGCTGCATCTCAAGCCTGCTCTAGTCTCCACACTCCGATGCCTTCTTTAGTGTTATTGTTTTAAGAGAAATCTAACCTTGATTATGTGGCAGGGACCTATTACGTTATTTGACTATTGGGCGCTAAATACATTTGCAGTGCAGTTACTTGATTATAAAATGTTAGCAGCATTTGCGGTATTGCCATAATAGCTACAGATCCCAGCTACTAACAAGGCCTTACTGTGCCACCCATTTGACAAATCTGGACTAAAAGACAGTCCTTATCTCTGGGACTGTGAAGTTTAGAGAGAGACCTGTCTGAGCCCTGAATATAAGCACAGAGAAACTCAGCAACTTGCCTGAAGTCTTAATAGTCAGTCAGAGGGAGAGCCAGGGATAAAAAACATGTTCCTTGAGCTCTGGTTGTGCTGTACTCACTTGATCACTTCCGTTTTAAATAAATCTGGTGTTTAAAGTGCTGTTTATGACTATCATTCCAAGGGAAGTTGATAAGGTCAATGCACAAGCACCCAAGACATAAGAGTTATATTTGAAGGTGCCATAGTGCACCGGCACTGCAAACATGGGCAGGGGTGGTGAATTTTGAAGAATGGTGGTGTAATAAACTGTGTTAACCTGTGAAGTGGGAAAAATAGCAGACCTTCTTGTCTGAGCAAGTGTCAGGATGTGGGGGAGTGCTGAAGCAGAGGAGGGAAAAGCACTGGGGAGAACATATGGATGTGTCTTCTGTTCTTTCAGTCACAGTCTCCTATACAGGGGAAGGTCACAGCAATCTTAAATACAGTGAGTGTGCTACAGCTGGAGGGCAGACAATCAGAATAATCCACTAAAAACTGGATACATATATAGAGACGTATGTGTCTGCACAAGACAAACACAAGATTTTCACCTATGGTAGAAAGCTGATCAAAATTGTGTATAATTTTATTTCCTGATTTAGTTGAGAACATGTGATCCACATTCAAGTTCCAGCAGAAGCTCAAAATGTCTCATCTAACGAAATCACAGTGGGTGTCTGGGACATCAAAACTGCATGGGTAACTGATGGGACATGGTAGGAAACTGGTGGCAACTCTTCTCTGACCTCAGCAGTGACTCCTCCCATACAGCAGCTGGGACTGATCAGTTCTTGAATTTATTTATTATCTTCAGCTTAAACTTGAACAGTATATCAAATATGCTCCTGAATATTGTAATTTTCTGTAGCTAGGTTTTGAGGAAAATAGTTTAATCTCAGAGGATTTACTTAAGGGAGAGATAACGAATACAGTATTTATATTAATAAAATGATTTCTAAATTAAATTCATTTTTTAAATGCAATTTGTAACCCTGCAACATGGGATTCAGTCTTCCCTCACTGACCCTGGTCATGAAGCATTCCCTGACTTCTATGTAATTCTATGGTTTTCTTGGTTCTTAGTTTAGTAAAACATTTGTGTTCCAGATTAACTGAAGGTAGAGACCTGTTGGTGTCCAACAGCCTAAAGTTAGTGTAAAAGCTTTGATGAATGAGGATTAACAGCTTAACTAGTAGAAGAAAGCAAATTCTCTTTCAAATTGTTGGAGCTAGTCATCTTTTCGATCACTGGCCCGTGTGGAACAGAGTTTGTGGTGTCAGTCCAGTTCTCCTTCTTCATATTACCAACAAAAAAAAATCTGTTTTGGAGCGCTGCTCCCTTTGACCATTTGAACTTTGAATAAATGCGCATGCAGCAGGCAGTCAGAAGTTGTAGGCTCAGAGGTATCTGCAGGCTAGCTGCCTTACTTGCCCTGACAAACAGCTATAATGCGTTAAGAGGTGTCCATATGCCATCTATAGTCAACCAACCATGTGAGAAAGTTTGCTTTCACAGTGGTTTTTACTGCTTTGATCCCATTCTCCATGTCTTTTACTGCTTCTTACTTTCTTTTCCCTATTACTTTTCATTGTTTCTCATTATTAATCCTTCCTTACCCTTGATATGTCTCCCAGGGCTCTTATTCTGTGGGTGGTGAGCACTGTCCAATGTATGAAGCTTCTTTCATCATCAGGGGAGGACTGATGAGTGTTTTCTGAAATCCCATGAAAGCTCAGAAACCCACCTCTCCTCTGTGTCTCTGTAGAGCAACCTTGACACCTACTGATTCACTTATTATGTGTTGTTCACTCTAAGTACTAATGTGTGTTGGGGCAGCGTCACATCTGGATGAGAGTGGCAGTAATCCTTTTTTGAGTCACATTCACCTGACAGTGTCCTGCCTCCTACAACTTCTGAGTGCAGTGTTGGAGAACTGGTAGCACTTCAGGCTTTCAAAACATGTATGGGAGACATGGCTAGACCCTTGATGCTATTTTCAGTGTGTCCTGTGGTGGATCATTCTCCAACTCAGCTTCCCATAGGAAATGTGCTCAGCTTTGCTTCTGAGCTCATGTGATTGTTGGCTCAGCGTCATACACTTTCCTGATCCTGCAGAATGGAAATGGCCATCTGCTTTTCCTCTGGTTCTGCTGAACACTTGGATATGTGAAAGGTAAAGTAAGATGGTGCACATGTGATTCTACCCTGCTGAGTTTGGTAACCCTGGGGGCTTATGAAGCCTGATCAATGAAGGTACCCATGCCAGAACCTGATGTTTCAGGAAAATCGCATTTCCTAGGTAGGTATTTCAGCCATCTGCCTCTCAAAGATAGGCTTTTTGATGTCTCTTATGATTGAAAAGTACCTGCTTCTCTGTGGTAAAAAAGATAGAGCCAAAGGGTCAGGCTGGGGCATAACTAAATCTGTGTTCTGTGTTTCAGCCCCTAATGCCTTGAAATACTTTCTTGAATTGAAAAAGTCAAGTTTACTATCACTTGAGATATAGTTCTTGTGTTTGCAGTCTTGCCCCATCACTGTCAGTTTAAAGGTGAGATTGTGTCCTTCTGCACCCCTGGAGGGTGGGCTGGTTCCAAGCCATTGCAGCAAATCACCTGAATATGGAGTCGCTCTGCCCTTTATAGCTGAGTTTAATTTAAACCAGAGGACATATTCAAATGCTCAACCTCCTTACTTCAAAACTGCAGCCTCCGGATGAAACATTGCACAGATGTGACATCAAAAACCAAGTTCTATACTCAGGAGGCCAGGCCATCCAGGCATTCTCAACTTGCTTCAGGCAGGTCAAAGAGCACCTACAGAACCGGACAGCTGTTTGGATGTTAAGACATGTCATAGACCTGCAGCAGTGATGTCTTCTTTGTTGACTACGGATCAGTCTGCTGAAGCTCTGCCCATGCAGGTAGCATCCATCCAGGTTGTGTGTCTCATTGATATTCGCAGGACATCAAGGAGTTCCTTTCACATCTGAGTTTATGGAACACTGAGACACCCAGAAATAACCCTGGATTTGGCAGGGAGGTGACTGAGGTTGCTCTTTGAACAAAGGATTTTGAGACTGACTTCTAAGTGTCACCTCTCAGTTGGATTAAATTGAAAGGAACTGGGGACTAAAGATGTCCACCAGCTTATATGCATGGTCATGTATTCATTTAGTGTAAGAAGGTAGACCCTAAATATTTATTTTGGAAAACTTAGGGTGAAAATGTCTCCAGCTTTAGCTAGAGGGGACATATAACCACTCAAGGTCAAAATGTGTGCGTGGAAAATACCCTTGTCAAGAATCCCAGCTGCTGGTGTACTCACTGGCACTCACTGACATCCAAATTAACTACCTCAGCAGGAAGACCACAGGCTAAATGTTCTTCTGGCTGGAATTTCATTTGACTCAAAGGTCGGGACATCCTGGCGAAGCTCTGTGATGGTACAAAGAAGCCACCACTTCACCGGGCTACCACTTTTGTTAGAATTAGAATGCTATTAGAATTCATGTCCTGGCAAGAGAGTCATAACCAACCTGAATAAAACATAGATGCTGTCTCACTGTGTATGACTTAGAGAACTTAAGTTTGGTTGAGGTCCTCTCAATCATGAGTGATTCTCGTTATGTACCATGAATGTTATACCCGTTAAAAATGTTTTTTCTTGAAACACATGAGAAAGTAGAAGAAAACCCCAAGTACTCAAATACCTGAGAAACCAGCTTAGTATTGTTTGACAAATCCTCCCTGCTGAGCTAAATCAACCAATTAGTCATGCTAATGCTTGTAAGTGACATTTCTGTCAGAAGAATAGTGTAATTTGGCTTTATTTCCAAATTCCAGCAGCAAAAAAATAACATGTATTGATCCTGTATCCCAAATGAATGATATTTCTGCCATACTAAAACCCAGAAAGTACTTGATAGGTTGCACCTTGCTATTATCTTCCAAAGCAATGACTCTGGTACTCTTGCACCTTCCAGTAAACTTTCATGATAGGTATCCCAGCAAAGACCATTAAATCAAACTTGGTACAGGCATGGCTACTTCTCTGATAAAAATATAACAGGCCTCAAGAAGCACTAACAGTTGGCTCTTGTAATCTGAACCTATTACTTGCACCAGCATGCACCTCCTCTTTGTGTTCAATCATGAGTCCATTTTGAAAGGGCAGTTCGTCTTCAATGGGTTAACTGTTGCCACATTAATAGAGGAGTTATAACATGATAAACAAATATAGTTTAACGCACCCTCCTTTGAATGCAGAGTTCATATGTATTCCAGACAAAAGGCCAAAAAAATTTACAACACTTCATGCATTTCTATAGCTGAGCATTTTTTACTGAAGAATATGTAAATCCTGCACTAATCAGAGGTTCTGGGATTCCAAATGCCACTAAAGGTTATGACCTGAAGCCCTGCTAATATATGACTGAGGGCGTAGACGAAGTAGTTCTGAATGACAGCAACCACAGGGTGTTTTGCATGAAAAGTAACCTCTAATAAATGACCTCTGCTATTTTCCTTTCAAAGCTATGACAGTAATGAATATGAAAGGGGGAGCTTTGTACACACCGGGTGTTATTTACACCTAAACACTGCAAGAGTGTGGATGGTATGTAAGGGTTTCAGCTGAAAAAGGGAGGAAAGAGTGTTTTCCCTGCCTTAACAAACACTGCTGCACTTCCGCTGACTTCACTAACAACCCCTTTCTTAAACAGTGGTACCAAACAACAAGGTCATGTTATTAAAAGAAACATTTCCTCCTTCATTATATGTATGTGTGTGAATATAAACATCTATATATATGCATGTGTGTATATGTGTTTACTGGATGGGTTACAGGCTTTATGTGAAATCTCTTGGATTGCTGATAGAAGCATTCAAATTTCTGCTGTTTTGTGACCTTTAGTTAGGCAGAACACTGTGTCTTTGGTGGTATGAACACAACAAGGACGTTTTTAATGTCAGAGTCTCTCCTTGTGGATAATATTTACACTTCTTGCAGGAGAACAGTTCTGAGATTCTTTTCTTAAATACAAGCAGAACCAGAGCTCTGAAAAAGAGATTTCCTTTGAATGATGGTGATCAGTTTGTGAAACTTTTCACATGTTGCTGGGGATCCTGGAGCAGGAATAAAGTGATTATGAGTGGATATCTTGTCTGTGCTCCTACCATCTTAGGATTGTTACCGGTCATGTACATGGCTTTGCCTTAGCCACCCTCCATGTAAATCACTTGCAGCGTGTCTTTTATTGCTTTCAGGGCTCCCTTGCCTTCCTGATTTCACTGTGTAAGGCCAGACCAGGATGGGGCAGGCATGCAGGCCGGCTCCACTGCGCAGCTGGGAACTGAGCCCCTTATCACAATGCCAGCAGAGGGACTGTATGGAGACACTGTCATGGCAGAGGAAACCAGCTGTACAGGGTATACTTAACCACAAACCTAGGGTCACGTCAGAAATCCCTGAGGTAGCATGTTGAGGTGCAGGCTGTATGTTTGATGTGTTGTGGGGCGGTTAGCTTTCTGCTTCCCTCTGCTAGCATGGTGGTACTGCAGCTTCCAGTTTGGGATCTTGTGTGCTTAAACCCCGCCTCAGGCTTCCCTGGCAGTTCTGCCCAGTAAGTGTATCAAAGGCCCAGCATCTTCAGGATGCTTAGGTGCCATTCTTGCTGCTGGAAAGCTTGGCCCTTTACGGTGCCACCACTACACACTGCTGTGCACAGAATGCCCTGAGACATGTCATGCATGGCAGTAGGGCAGCTCTGACACTCCACTTACCCCCTAGCTCCATTATCTTCCCTGTGCAAAGCCAGATTATTTGGGATTTGAGCATGTGAGTGTGGCCTATGAAGACCTTCTTCCACATCAGGATGCACTTCATACCCTGGGAATCTTTCACCTGATGTTCAGCACAAGTTTTTTTTGCTGTTTTTTAATATTATCCAAATATTTTTTCATTAGTTAATTTTTAATAAAGATGCTTTATGTGCAGACCATAGTTATGTTTGTTCAGGTATGACTGCCATTCTGTTAGGTGGCAATTTTGCCTGAGTAAGGAGGCCAAAGCAGGGCTTTAAAATGCACTCCTCATAAAAAATTAAAGAGCTATTCTTTATTTACATATTTACACAACACTCAATTCATCGTGTAAAGCTTTCTCTGCCTTAAACCCAAATCTCTGGGGTGTACTCCATGCCTGGGGAAATTGGATGGCTCAGAGAAATGATAAAGAGATATCTGTCCATCCACCTATCTATCATTTTTTATACCATACTCATTACCATAGTCTCTGAGCTCCTATTACATGTATGGAGCCTTTCCCATTTCAGTACAGAGCTGGTCAGCAGAGAC